CAACGGCGGTAGTTTGACGCCGACGTATATTCTTTTTATTCACATCGGCTCATTTTAACACATAACAATTTTAATCAATGTCAAATTCAATGAGAGCTTATAATCCTCCGCTCACCAGATGTATATTATTACCTTATTTGAAGAAGAAATGAATGGAATGGAATAGAATAATTTTTATTGAATATTGATGATTGTTACAAGTACTCATTGAAAATCATTCACACTTTCAGCACTGGTTCGGAAAAAGCCTCTGTCCTGGGAAGAATCAGCAAGAAACCCAACGGTTTAAGTTTTTTTTTAAAGTTATACTTCTTTTGGGGCGTTTGGAAATGCTGAGAGTGAATGTTTACGATCCACACGCACACTGACACCTAAAAACGACACTATGAAGTTGTCACGATGCGAGCGCACACTGACACCTAAAAGTGGGTAAATTGTCTCTTAGGTTTTTTTTTTTGTTTTGTTATACTACTAAATAAGGATAACTTCCTACTTGCGTACATAAGTACAAACACACACTATTTTTTATTTAATTTATATGTTGTACAATTAAATATGAAACGTTTAGAAACAGCATTGTAGGGATCACATAATTCCCAAATTCTTTTGAGACAAATTTTCCTTAATGTAATGCTGACGGAAAATCTATTCAGTCTCTTTTGACTACATAACTAGTTCGCGGTGTCGGTTCAGTTGTACACTCGTCACACCACTTCCTAGTGCCAACTGACGGATTCTTGGAAAAGCCTATATATGTTGATGATATGATAACACATTGTGGGAATTCGATAGGTGCGCGTGCATGTACGCAATTTATTCATAAGGCTTATGTTAAAAAGTGGAGTTTGTAATCAGTTGCAATAAATAAAATCTAAACAGTTTTATTGTAACTAGTAGGTTACATAATTAAAAAAAAAAACTTTAAAGGCGGTGCATTTAAAATGTGATGTCTTCTATATCATAAAACTGGTGCACCCACACTACGCGCACGCTGTTGTTAGCTGATCTTTAATGTCGGATCACAAATAACGCGTAAGCGACTCATCATTACGTGTCAAACCTATTACAGTACAATGTTGACGCGTACAAATTTTGCTAAGTCTTAATACGAAATTAATATTGTACGTAAGTGACACATTTAAATGAAATATAATAACTCTATGTCATATGCATATATTGGTAATGAAATGAGATTATCTTGTTTCACTTAATCACCGATCGCACGACTAAATCGAATCTTAATTACCGGTACAAGCGAATGACGTTTCTAAATAAGTATTGTAATGCAAATCGAAATTGACTAATGGCAACACATACCTTTTATATAACACATAGAAGACTAAAAATAAATTAAGAATATTAACAACCCCGTTGGAGTTATGGCGGATATTTGACCGTTGACGGATTGTTGTTCCTGTTTTATCGTTTCAATAATGGTTTGAAGTGGATGTTGATAAGTAGAAGTGATGCGATTTTGTGTATTGTCTGCGCGTGTAAACTATAGTGGAAACGACGAAACAAGTGATTCGATGTTGATGTAAACCTTTATTTTGTTCGCTTAGGCTTAGGCGCCTTAAGAACTTGAGTGACTGTCGTCAGCTGGGTTGAGCAGTCGTAAAAATTTCCCAAAAACTTCGCAATGTGACGCCTCTGCGAAGGAGTTAAGAGAAAATTCGCGCCGAGAGACTTTTGAAAATTAGGCATTTGAAGAAGCTACCGCTGTCGCACTGCGTCCAATAAGAACAACTGCAGATCCTACTGAATAGCCTAAGTAAAAAGGTATAATTCGAGGTTTGGCTCTCTACCATTTCCTCCTCCAATATTGGATCCATTTAAAAGATATTTCATAAACTGAATAAGATATATATATCCTACACTGTGTCCCTATGTTTTTCTTGTTTTAAAACCTATTAGTTATCAAATTTGATCACTAGGCCTCTGTTGACACTTGACAGCGATCTAAATAGGCAATTTTGACCATTTTGTAAGCGTATTAGTGCTTATAAAAAAAAAATCATCAAAAAGGAAAACATAAAGAAAACAGGCGAAAGCGTTTGTATGGAGAAAATACCACCCGCATTTCCTCTAACATAATAATATTATATTGGATAATTTATGACACTAGCATATGTATCATTACACCTGTCCATGACCAAAGATAAATAAACAACCCCCGTTTATAATTAACATACGTATTAAGTAACCAAATTTCTAAAACATCATTCTAATTGTTCTGTTGATGACTAATATTTTTAAAATGTAATATCCGATTTACAAAAATTTACAAATTAAGATCATTAGCGATGACGAAATAGTGCCGAATATGAAGCAAGTGTATACATTTATCAAGTCCATACTTGATCATCGAAGGTTACTCAAATTCCAGCCATTCGGAACACACAAATTGTAAAAGGCTCTTTTGGAAGTAATTGAACAATTCGACACGCGTCAGTGCTCTCCAATGAATAACGTGAGACAAAGGTATAACAAATAAATAATAATTAATAACTAAAACACTCGTACCAAGACGCTGTTAGAATGATTTCAGAGTTGAAAGTAGAAGCATATTCGTATTCACATCATTTGCCGGTTAAAAGCGATAACAGTTTTAAAATTGTTAACAGCATAGAATATAGAATGCTTTATAAAATATAATGGTATAGTTATTCTAGCGAGGCCTACGCACACTAACACAATGTGTATGTGCACGGCTTAACAACAACCAAAGTCAAACCTTCATCGTGAAATCGAATAACTATATAATCGTTATAATGACATGACTACGAAACGCGAAATACTCTCCAGCATTTACAAGTTTCGCACCTATTTCCATTATCTATTCTTGAAGTCCAAATTACCATTGACAATAATAAACATTGAGTTTGACATTGTGAAAAAGGTGACATAGTGAAAGGTTAGGTTAGTAAGCATAATGTGGATTAAGTATTTCCAAACAACAGAACTGAAGAAAATGCTCTAAGTGAAAAATAAACCATTTTTATTCAATTCTGTTGAGTTATCAAGCTAGACAATGACGACACATACAAAAGATCTTCCACCACAATACAATTATCCAGTTACGCTAAAATTAACTTTATACACTACTAACCAAGGCAGGAATTCCAAGGGTTCTTGTTTATCCCGATAACTACGGAATAATAGTACAATGTTAGACAAATTTACAATTCACATCTTTATCATGACAAATTTTGCATCGTTCCAATGATTGATTAATCATTGGAACAATCCAAAATTCATTGAACACAATTTCGGATTAGTCCAATAAAAATATTTTCAAAAGCTAGATAATTCAATTCATTTGTGAATTTTAATAGCAAATTTCATGTACTAATGTTTAATATATTTAGTCAGTCAAGAAGAAGCATGCATCTGTTATCGTTACCGCCACTAAACACAGCATCTGTTACATCACAGTCAACATTTGTTTTACGTCCAACGTCAGCAGTCTTATTTTCAACAACGCCTACGTCATTATTATATCGCATTTTAATTGTGATAAATTAAATTCTATCAAATCCATCTTCAAGAGCAAGATATCTCTTACTCTGTCCACATTCATGACACCGCACTAAATGTCACAGTGACTTCCGATTAGTAAACAACCGAATTTGAACATATAAACATTAATGTGTACACGACCTTTACCAAATAATAAAGCTGTCGGCTTTGTGAGCACATCGTGATAGATTACAACATCTAGCGCACTTTCATACGCAAGTAATGAAGTGGTTAAACTAAACTGTTGTAAAGAATCAGCCAGTATAAGGACATTAACACAGGTCTGAATGTCAACATTAGTGTTACATAAATTTGTTCTTTGGTATAACAGCTGAATTGCAGTCACAAACACAGCCAATATCTGTCAGTGAACTGCATTTAAACAGATTAAATTGTATATCAACATTTATTTTTATTTTTGATAGTGTCACTACATTTTGCAACTGCAAATCAACTTTGAATGGAACGGTGGGTCAGTGTCACACTAGTGCCGTATGTACACAAGTATACATACCCTAGTTGGACGTGTCCCATATGTTTGTTGGGGTCGTCGGAAATCAGCGCGCGGGTCATCGACTCAGTGGTATTGACACCACCCTCGTGCTAGCAGACAAACAAAGATGTACAGACAGGCAAACATCACCCTGTGGACGGCACAATGCTAAAGCGGAACCCGCGCATACACGGAACACCCATCAGAGGCTCAATATCTCAATAATGCAATGCTTAATGTTTGCAATAATGCTTGTTGTAGTAAAAAAGTAGCGCCAACGCGAACTATTTGTGCTTAAAACAAATTATAACTACTAAACAAATTGAAATAAGCGTTTCTTGCATTGTTAGTTTTAAACTACTCGCATGTGTATTTTTTAAATAAAGTGTCTGTTTGTTGCCTTTAACTATTAATCAAGTCTTCACTCGTCAAAGAATCCTCTCGTGAGACAACTCTACATATATACTGATCTCATAATTGCATGCAAATATGATAGGGGCACGAAAAGCATGACAATACGGTAACACAAAATAATAATGCTTTGTTCCTCTCGGAACAGGGAACGCGGTTGAATGGACTTCAAAAATAAATTATGTTCGCGGAAAACGTTGGTTAGTCGCCAAACTCACTCAGGCAGCAGTTGGTTAGCAATCTCCACAGGAGCTCGGTATTGGAACTCGACAAATAAAATCGTATTAGAAATATCAAACTAAAAACGTATATTTTGCTACGCTACGCTATCATTCAACCACACAAGGAGTTAAAGAGATGTGTTATTATGATGATGTACTATAAACCGGCTGTCTCCAATGCTTGCCTGAGTGGTGAGAGGTAGACTCCCGCATCAGCGTCACAGTACAAGCGCTGAAAAAATAATATGGCTCTAGGACTTGCTCTGACTCGCACAAAAACTTCCTAAATCCGTTAAGAAAAGAGACAAAGAAGGAGTCAAGGCACGTCAGAGAGTGATCTAAGTTAATCTGCATACCCCAACTTGAGCGCTTGCCCTCCCGCCATGAGGCCCTCCTCCCCCAGTAGGGTCACTTGTTCCTCTTCCCGCGACGGGTCCGCCATCTTGTGCACACATACGCCAACATGGCGTCAATGTAAGTAACGCGTCCAATGTCAATGTCACATTTTTCGGCAACTTTCTTTCAAAGTACAAAATGTTCAGTAATTTCAAATAAATGTGACATTGGTATTGGTGCAATTTTCATAAAATATGATAAAAACAATCAAATAAAAAATAACCCTATTTAAATGTCTTACATGATGAAGCATATGAAGGACTTTGATCAAGAGAAGACCCACATTTTACAAATTTGACAAAAGAGTGAGTAAATTAAAAATAAAGACATCGATGCAAGTGTTTCTAACTTATTTTATTTACATTGAATGACGCACTGGCGAAAAAAAAAATATGATTGAAACAATTCAAGACAGGTAAAACCAATTTTAAGGTCTTCGTGGAGCTAATTTTTTTCTACAACAGCAGTTTAATCTTGGCGAAATTAAATGATATACGTAGCGCCTTTGACAATCACGATACATTCTAAAATTTGCATAGATCCTTGGCATAATCAGTACTATCCATACAATAAAATTATTTTAACTTTATGATGCTCTAAGACAATGTCCAATGCCATATCATTATTCTGTCAAAGAAATAAAGGTGTAAAAATTACTATGGAGTATAAATCACTAGGACTTATAATGGCAACAAATTTTGTGCCCGGCACCACAAGGATATCGCCGGCGTAAATTATCTTATCACCAGATTAATTTACGACTTAGCTGTTACGCAAAAACACAATAGTAATACCGGACCGATCTACGTATGTTTTATAATTATAAATCTGAAATCATGTGACTTCTTAATGAATTATTATATACATAGGGAATAAAATTATGGATCTACAATCTCACTTAATGCATGGAATTATCCTTTTAAAAGAATAGTAATTACAATTTCTAAAATTGGAAAGTATATAGAGAATCTTGTCGAGAACAGTTTCATGAATATTATCGTTAAACATTCAATTATGATGTAATGCACAAAGTAATTTGGATGGGAGTAATAAGAGCAATTAGAGTTATAAAAAAATTGCGATAGTCGATCATACATATCATAAAACGACAGTAAATAACAATAGGTTGGGAACTAGTTTTATAGTTTATGCATCTGGACACAGGATGAAATGGATTTAGACCAAGATATTATTTATGAAAGAGATAACGATACAAATGCTATAACAATGATGGGTTGTCTAAAATGCTCTTTAGATTTATGTTTCTGAAAATTCAAGACTTACCTCATCGAAGAATACTTGAGTTTTTCTGAGAATATGTTTCAGTTCAGTTAGCTCGAGATAGTTTCTTTTGAGGGCTTCTGCATTCTGGTTGACTTCTCGCAGCTCGTTTTCTAACTTCTCAAATGTTGCCTACGAAAAAAGAAACATTATTGTTATTGTGCCACAGTCAACAAATTTAATTAGCCTTTCAGTTAATAGTCTAGCCTTTTCTACCGATTTCAAACAGGTGGAGGTACTCAATTCGCCTGTAGGTTTTTTTTGGATGTGTGTTACCTCATAACTTTTTTCCTGCTGAACCGATTTCGATGATTCTTTTTTTATTTGAAAGCTGGTGCTTCACATGTGGTCCCATATAAATTTGATAAAGGTTTGACCAATAGTTTTTAAGCTATTATTAATAATTTATATTGAAGTCGGTTATACAAAATTTTTAATTTAAAATTATTACTAAACGTCTCTGTTCAACTAGCGGCCTGAATGATATTTAGTCGATGCATCTAATACAACATTGCAACTATCTTGTAATATCAGCGACAACAGGTTATGGTGCATCTGGGGTGGCCTTTGGGCCATCTTAAAGCCGCGTACATTTATACAGGGTTATTTTATTACAATAACCAGCAAATGGTGAAGAAAAATTAATTTTAAAAATCTCAAATATTCTGAACTTTTTATCTTATAAATTCAAAATACATGGTAATGCATTATTTTAAGTGATTTTACTGCACACGCACACATTCGTAAGGGTTGATCGGAAGGCAAAAACGTTGTTGCCCATGAATCACATTCAATTTGGGATAATTTCAAATAAAAGTAGAAGCTTAATTTGTCTTTGAATAATAACCCTGTATAATATAGCGCATAATATGTCCAGCTTGGGTCTTAGAAACTGACTGTTGATATGGTTTTATGATTTCTTTTATTTTTCTTTAAATAAAAAGAAATTACATTAACGTGATATGCTTGTTCTGCCAAATGACACGAGTTTTTCATGTGGTTACATTTTTCAAAGTTGACAAAATAAGATTGAGTGATATGACATTTTTCCTCGAATAATTACATTATTCCTGCCCACACGTAAAATACGCGCATAGACGTGGAGTTGCGGGAAACAGCCCGTCTTAAACTAAACTAAGATTGCGTGATAAATAATCTCATAATTGATCTCACACATTAAAAGGAAATTTGACGTGATATCAAGTTTTCAATTCTTACCTCAAGATCGATCATCTCCCTGGGCTGCGGAGCTTCCGGGCACTCGCCCGGAATTTCCAGCATCGGGATGCCGTCGCGTCTAATCTCCTTCTCCAAGTAACGAAGCTTACGCTCCATCTCGTCACAGCGTCGGACCTCATTGACGAACTTGCGTTGGAACGCATTTACGTCAGGATTTAGCTGCATGGACAAAATTTCCGTTATTAACAGTATCCTCTGATAATAAAAGAGAAGTATCATCCCACAAATATGTTTTCCAAAGCTAAACTATTAAAGTACTTTTTTACGTGGTAGAGCAACGCTGCATATGGTTGTAGCACGAATGGGTTGGCTCGATCGGGGTTCCACCACACTCTCACAGAATACCAGCGTAAAATAGCAGCTTAATGCTGTTGTGTTTAGTATGGTGAGTGTAGAGAACAGGAGACCCTTTTTACTGGATATGAGGCTTTCCATCTTAGTCGTGACAACGCATCTGCATTTTGATTATTAATTGACGATAATATATATGTGTATGGGTCACAGCATCCACTTACCATCAGATGGACTTATTCTATATAAAAAAACGATCACGGTGATGTGATAATTTAAACATACATCCATCTACATATGTATAAAGATTTAAAAAAAATCATTAAGATGAATTTTTTTTCTTCCTTTCTCTCTAATTTAATCAATGTAAAAAATTAAAAATATTAGTTATTTCAGTAAGATTAATTGAATATTTTTTTTTATAGGATAAGGGTGACAAACGAGCACACAGTCCACCTGATGGTAAGTGGTTGCTGTGACCCATAGACATCTACATCTATCCTCATTTGCGAATCAAAATGCAGATGGGCTGTCACCCGTGAGAACTAAGATGGAATGCCTCATTTCCAGTAAAAAGGGCCTCCGGCCACCTGCACTCACCAAGCGAAATGCAGAGGTAAACCTCTAATTCACGCTGGTATTCTGTGAGGTCATGGTACGACCCCGGATCGAGCCGGCCCATCCGTGCGACAGCAAAAGCTGCCGCGTGGCTCTACCACTGTTGATATTGAATTATAAGCAACCTTTTGCAATATGATCTGACATATTGTCATAAAGATGATACATATTTAAATGGAAGACACTATAATATATTACTGACATGGAAGTGAGCCAAGTTGCATAATCAAAAATAGTTAAATAATGAAACTTATTATTAGTGTGCTTTTTCTGAAAAAACTAGGAACAAGGTATTTATTGGTTCTCTTTACTTATTGATCTACTAAACTTAGTAATATTGTATTAGGATCACAGATTCAATTATCGTAACAAATTATTTGAACTGCAATGAATAAGACAGCAGCATCTTCCTGATAACAATTCAATGTAATAAAAACTTTGCTATCACTATACCACCTGCCAAGCATGATAACTATGCCAAATCATCACAAACATTTTATTTGATTTCTAATATATGTTTAAAGCAGTCACGCTATCAAACAAATATTGGAAAAAAGTAACAAATTTCAGAAATCAGTCTTTACATAGCTTTTATTGACTCATCATTATCATCATTACAGCCTTTCATAAGTCCACTGCTGAACATAGGCTTCCCCCAAGGAATGCCACAAAGCACGGTCCTGACCCACCTGCATCCATCGACTTCCTGCATGTCTTACCAGGTCGTCACTCCATCTCGTGGGGGGTCGCCCTACACTTCGCCTACCGGTACGAGGCTGCCACTCAAGAACCTTTCTTCCCCATCGGTTGTCGGTTCTTCAAGCTATACGGCCAGCCCACTGCCACTTCAGCTTACTAATCCGTTGGGCTATGTCGGTCACTCTGGTTCTACTGCGGATATCCTCATTTCTAAGTTTATCACGCAGAGAAACTCCGAGCATAGCCCTCTCCATAGCTCGCTGAGCGACCTTGAGCTTCCTCATACGGCCAGCAGTGAAGGACCACGTCTCAGATCCGTAAGTCATCACTGGCAACACGCACTGGTTGTACAGTCTCGTTTTTAAGTTTTGAGGTATACCTGACAAGAAGATGTGCCGTAATTTCCCGAACGCTGCCCAGCCGAGTTGAATCCGTCGATTGACCTCTCGGTCGAAGTTGGACTTGCCTAGTCGGACTATTTGTCCCAGGTAAACATACTCATCAACAACTTCGAGCTTAGTGCTCCCAACAACTACCGGCATAGGTGTGACATGGACATTAAACATGATCTTTGTTTTGTCCATGTTCATCCTAAGACCTATCCGTTCGGAGACACTATTGAGATCATTGAGCATGGTGGTCCTCCAGCGATGCTGCAATAAGGACTATATCGTCGGCAAATCGAAGGTGAGTGATGTACTCGTCATTGATGTTAATACCGTATCATTTCCAGTCCAGTAGCTTAAAAACGTCTTCCAATGCAGCGGTGAAGAGTTTCGGGGATATAACGTCACCCTGTCTTACACTCTCTGCAGTTGGATAGGTTTCGTACTCTGGTTCTGTACTGGGATAGCCATCGTAGCGCCACTGTACAAACACTTCTGCGCTTCGATATACCCACAGTTAACTTGGCACTGCTGAAGGGACTACACTGCCCAAAATACGACGGTATCAAAGTCTTTCTCATATCGTCGGTAAATAGAAGGTGAGTGATGTACTCGCCATTGATGTTTATACCGTATCCTTTCCAGTCCAGAAGCTTGAAAACGTCTTCCAATGCAGTGGTGAAGAGTTTCGGGGATATAACTTTTTTTTTCGGGGATTAACTTTAAATTTTATTGACTACTCGAAAGCATTTGACAGTCTGAAACATAATTACATTTGGTCAACTTTAAGATAGCAAGGAGTGGAAAATACCTACATTGAGATACTCAGAAACATTTACAGCATGAGTAAGAGCCGCATCAAACTGGAATCGAAAAGAGACCTATTTCCCATTAACAGAGGTGTCAGACAAGGAAACCCACTGTCCCCCAAACTATTCACTGCTGTACTGGAAAATATCTTCAGAAGACTAGACTGGGATGAATACGGGCTCAACATCAATGGTAACTTAAATCATTTGAGGTTTGCTGATGATAATATTTTACTGGAAGAAACAATCAGCTTTGTAGCGGTTTCTAACGGTTGCCGTTGAGCAATCAGTTTCAAAATAGGAGGTTCAGATGCCTGGGTGATCAGTATTCGATTGCTGAAAACAGAATTTGAAAATTCGAAACCGTTCTCGAGATAATCTTGGGACAGACGGACAGACATTGTGAAATCAATAAGTGACTTCGCAAGCTTTGTCACTTAATAATAAACGTAAAGAGCTAAGCATCTCTATCAAAAATAAAACATTCAACACCTGTATTCTCCCTGCATCACATATGATTGTGAGACGTGGTCCTTTAACCAAAATCACCAGGAGAAACTTGCAAAATGCCACAAGCAATGGAGAGAAGTATGTTGGAAATAAAACTCAAGGATAGAGTTAACAACGAAGAAATAAGGGGAAAAACCAAGATTCCTGACATTTGGACCCAAATCGACCATCTGAAATGGGACTGGACAGGTCACATGATTCGTTGCAAGACCAACAAAAGGAGCAAGTAGGTAGCCCTACGGTACCCAAGAAATAGCATCAGAAAATGGGGTCGCCTAACCAGAAGATGGGAAGATGATATTAGCCTGACCTTGGAACCATACTGGACAAGGGTAGCAGCAGACAGAGTCCACTGGAAGTAGTTGGAGGAAGCCTATGCCAAAAGGCACACGGAACTGAGGGACTTACTCTAACTAGTTCTACAGTATGAACTTAAATAGAGTTATGTACAACCCTAAAGTTCGGAAATAAATGGCTATATTATATTATTTAATGTTTAAAGCATTGCCAATATTCGTTTAATTAATTTAATATCTTTATTATATAAAAAATACTTCACATTGTTTGTCCGTGATGAACTCTGAAACCACTCAACCAATTTTAATGATATTTTGTAAATGTGTATTGCTTGCTCCAAACTTGAAAGATAGGATAGTTTTTAACCTGACCCTCAATATTTTTTATTGCTATCTTAAAGATTTTTTAAAGGACAAAGAGTCGTCAGAAAAGGCAGAACAAAGTCTACCTGGCCAGCTAGTAAGTAATAAGTGATGGCTAATTCAATTTCTAGGTAGTCACATAATTAAACTACAACTATACAGTATAAATATGTTTCAATAGTGATTATGAAATTTTAATGTTTATTTAATTTTTATTATGAAAAATTAGAGTAGGATTGGGTTTACTGACAACTTCATAAGTGAATTTGTGGATGGAAAAACAAAATGTAATAAAGACACATTATAAAATTATAAACAATTTAGATTTATTATACATGTTTCACTTTGATTTTTGCATATAACTTGAAATCAGTGCACAATGTGAAGGAAAATATATGTGCATAGCTGCAGAGTATTTCTTTTAATTGCTTATGTAACAAAATTAAAAAAAAAACCTTTACAAATGACTAGTACCCCATTATATATGTAGTTATGCAAATTATAGCCAGTTAATAGGTTTGCACCAATTACTTCTAATATTCTCACATTGTGAATCAATAAAAAATAAATAACAATGTATAAATGTTTAGTTTAGTTAAAAATAATTTTGTAACATTTATAAAATTCGAATCCACAAAAATGTGAATTGGTCTAAATTTAAAACTTAATATTATCTTTTTATTACATTTATTATCTCTGTAAGAAATTGATATTAAAGTTACTTATCACAATTAGTTATCGACACCCACATCACATGACTAGGTGTACTACTAAATACTATTTTAACAATTACTAGATGTACCCCTTTTCTGCCTAAGATTGTTTCTGGATAGGTACCACCTCCTAACCAATTTGCTGAGTTCCGTTCTGAAGGATATAAAGAGTCAGTAAAATCACAGGCTGTGAGACATTCCAACTGAGTCCTACAGGTGAAAATGTATCTGTAGCCTGCTTTGTTAGAAGTTGACTGCAGGTGTTCATGGACTGCAGATACCACTTACCAACAGATGGACTAAAAGTTGGTTTGTCAATTCAGTTCTTTTTTTTTAAATGTTGCATGACGCAATTATATTATACTCACAACTAAATTATCTATACAAATAAATAAAATTGAAGTGTCTATTTGTCAAAATAACAGTTTTTAGTACATGCATATGAAAGTATATACGGTACTTCTAACAAAAAAACAATTTTTAAAATTTTTGGTCTGTCTGTCTGTCCGTCTGTCTGTTTGTTCCGGCTAATCTCCGAAACAGCTAGACTGATTTTGACCGGACTTTCATTGGCTGATAGCTAATGTTATAAGGAATAACTTAGGCTACTTTTATTTTAGAAAAGGAATTAGGGTTCTGTGCAAAAAAAATTAAAACCCATGAAATCCAATTGTAATAAATTCCATGCAGGCAAAGTTGCAGGGAACAGCTAGTTATATAATATTAATACAATTATAACCCGTTAAATCCAATCATAATAAATTCCATGCAGGCGAAGTTGCAGAGAACAGCTAGTTATATAATATTAATACATCATCCATAACAAAATTTTCATAGTGGCTAGATTATCTTATAGTTAGCCTGGTAGTTAATAATTTGACTGCAGCAGTGCTGTCGGGCCACAGATTTTCCTATCTGGATACAAGTATTCCTATGGCCTACAAATAATTTTTGTACGGTAATGCCTCCACAGTACAGAAAATATACTACGGTCTCATTTTAATAAAAAAAGAAATATTCAACTTTATTTATACAATACTAGCTGATACCATAACATAAATATGTGATGAAAAAAATTAAGTAGTTTTTGTAGTGACATTCCACTTGATGGTAAGTGGCTGATGCAGCCAATGGACATCAACTGACTTTAATTGTTGAGGGCCAAATTGCATACCAGCTTATGATTAAGGTGGTTTACTTCACAGTCTGTAATTACATAGGCTCTCTGAACCTTCAAAAGAGCACATATTAGTAGTTGCACCGTTTCTCAACAGCAAAAATAGGTGAGAGGGTGATACCTACACAGACCCCTAGCATCCTAAAAAGAGCAACCATCTGATATATTTTTAATTATTTAATATTTAATACTATACGTATATATTAATAATTATTATAATTAAATTTCAAGCGATTAAAATAAAGAAAAATTACTATTGTTACTATAAGGGTATCAGATAAGGGTATCATTACTATCAGCAAAAAACTTTCTTTCATCATCATCATCATCATCATTACAGCCCTTCACAAGTCCACTGCTGAACATAGGCCTTCCCCAAAGAATGCCACAAAGCACGGTCCTGAGCCACCTGCATCCATCGACTTCCTGCATGTCTTACCAGGTCGTCACTCCATCTCGTGGGGGGACGCCCTACACTTCGCCTACCGGTACGAGGCTGCCACTCGAGAACCTTTCTTCCCCATCGGTTGTCGTAAAAACTTTATTTAAGCCAATATAAATGATGCCAAAGCCATTATAACATGTAAGTAATGTTAAAAATGCAAAAAATAAAACAATATACTACAGTGTTAGACAGCCCGTTGCTATATAGGTCAAATTTTTTTGACTGTAGGCTCTAAAAATCTGGACATATTAGTTCAATGTGAATAGGTATCACAAATTTGACAATTCCAACGAGCAAATAAGGGGCGTTTTAAGTCGTATATACTCACATCACGAAACTGGACAAGTCCTAATTCACCGAGCTCAGACACGCAGGCATATGCTGCTTCACTTTGCAGAAAAAGTTGACATAAAGTCATTTCTTCACTTCTAAATAACGACCCCATTTTTATGTTTTTCCTTTAACACTACACAAATACAATTAACTGCAGGGCTCCGTCGCGACAGTCTGCGGGCAGACTTCGACGGCGACGAAACCGATTTTAAAATGGTAAAATCAATAGATTTCAATGCTACGAATTATCTTTCAAGCAGACAGAATACGTCAACAATTCATCATACCAGGGTTGCCAGATGCAATTTTATGGTTTCCCCCAAATTGATTTTTATTTTTCCCCAAAATGATACGTTTGAACTAGAAAACCACCAGTTTTGTTACGAATAAAAAAAAAACAAATATAAAATCAAAACGTACAGCTTTTATTTTATTTGTTAGTGAAAGAAGAAAATTTGAATGAAGTACGTAGTTGTCGATTTTTTTAATTAATATTCATTAAAAATAGCAAGTACTTCATTCACATTCTCTTTATCTCCTGTTTGATAGACATTTTCAGACTTAAATAAAGTTAACATTGTAGTGCTTGGCTCAAACATTGTGCATCCGCCGCGGTCTTGTAAGGTACCTCTCACTCTCATGATATGTTCTGCGATTTTCGTGAGCATTCAGTTTCGCAATTTATTTTTGACGATGTTCGTCATCGAGAAAGCCCGTTCTACAGCAGCATTAGCAAATGGCAAACTGAAAATAGCCGTGGCAAGTTTCGTTAAATTAAAGAAAGCTGCGCCACCACATACATATTTGTATGACAACACTTCTCCCTAAAACTCGTCAGCTGTTTTGGCTTTTTTTTTTCATTGCTGAAGAGGTAGAATTTTCCACTCTTACAGCGTCACATCAACGTTTTCCACTCCTCCAACCACATTGAAAGCAACAACTATTTCTTCAATATTTGGCCTTATTTGGCTTGTCGCGATTTGGGGCGAAAAAATTGAATTTTTTTTCTAATATTTTAATATTTTTCGGTAATCGCATTTGGATTTCTTCACAGAGCCGAATAAGACACTGAGTACTGATATGTTAGCTGAACAAAAAGTACGTTCGTTTCATTGCACTTTTTATATTTTATCTTTTTAAAAATTCTAGCCCCCAAAATTTCCCATTATGTATTTTCCCCCCAAAAGTTTCCCCAAAGATTATATTTCCCCAGTTATTCCCCAAGAGTCATTTTATACCCCAGAATTGCGAAGAAAACCCGCAATCTGGTAACGGAGCGTCATTTTTTTTTTGGAGTTTATGGCCTGGTAACTAGACCTTTAGGCCAAGTCTTGAGTATTTTTATTCGATTTATTATAATTTCCCCAAATGTATAATTATCCTTCATAGTTCACTGCTTCACAATATATTGATGCGTCACATTGTGTAACCCTTGGGAGACTTTCACGGCAACTTGAGCCAGCAGTCAGCTGACAGTTGGCGATGGTATCTCAAGGCGCCTATACAGACAAACAGCATATCTTAAGAATCAATCACCATCAGAGCACTTGTTTCACCGTTTCCACTAATAGTTCACATGCGTAGACAGTAAATACATAAAATCGCACCACTTTTACATATCAAAATCCACTTCAAACTATTATTTAAACTATAATACAGGAGCAGCAAACCACCGCCGGTCAAGTTTCCGCCAAAACCTCCTAACGGAGCGTCATACATGCCCACAGGGTGACCATCTTTAAAATACTTTGCCTTACTTTGGTTAAAAACCTGCCAAATCCTGCCAAAGTCTGTAGTGAAAAAGCTTAAATAATGCCAACTTAATTTACAATTAAAGTTTATTGCATTGTCTTTTTCGTGCGTTTACGTGACAACGAGGCTCTTACCAAGTTTGAGTGAATAACTTAACTTCGATTGCCATTAATTTGCGTCGAGGAGTTGCTTGTGTGGCATTTTAATATCGTACGAAGACATTTTTCCTTTGTCGGTAGAATGCTAAAAATTTGTGACCCGAGAGGAGATCGCGTTCGTCTTCGATTATATTATGTGTTATTGAAATGTTATTGTGTATATTAATTATGTGTTAAGTGACGTTAGACTTGAGTTTACATAAAGGTGAACGCCCTACCAAGTGATCGCACATCTTTGGGAGCAGAGAAGCGCATGTGGCTCTGCTGTCCGATTACATCGGTGACGTCAGGTTACATTTACACACTTTCGCACACCACTTACATACCACCAACTTAACCCCTGACTGTATCGTGTGGTTGACCCTACCTCCGGAACTCGGTAAGTTTGTGTTTGCTTATCAGCCATTACATAATAATTATCCATAGGCCATTTGGGCCCGAACACTCTGGTTGCTCGTCGAGTGAGCTACTCATGGGCCCAAGCCCAGTCGACTTCTGTCGGGGCAACTGAGGGCCGTAACAATTTTTGATAGCAGATCGTGGTTACGCCCGGCCGTAATATAAAAAAAATATTTTTTTTTTATATTTTTTTTGTTTTGTTAACGGATCGGTGGTTAGAACCACGCCCGTTAGGCTGCGCAAGCAGGAGTGTAGTTTAGGGTTAGGTACCTACGCGTCAGGTATTTCGGGTTGGTAGATTAATTATCGTTATCATATAATCGTATAATTATCGTATAATTATAGTAGATATTAATTGCCGAAGGGTCGGTCGCCTGAGCGAGGCATCTTTGCTGACCGACCGTAGTGTGTACTTGCCGTGTAGAGTAACTTGTGTTTAATTTAATTTAATAGTAATTTGTATTAAGTAGTGATGCCATCGCAAAAGCCACCGGCGCTTCGCCTGCAGGCGGAGCTGCGCTGGGCCGCGAATGCCCATACTTTGATAGGGCGACCCGATCGGGTCCATAGTTTAGAGAAGCGGCTTGAGCAGGTCGAGGCCCGAAGGGCCGTAGTGGAGGAGGCTTACACTGAGCTCGTGGCCTCGGATGCGGAACAGGGAGTCCTAGACTCCTGCCTCGCGGACTACGAGAAATTCCGTCTTCCAATGCAGCGGTGAAGAGTTTCGGGGATATAACATCACCCTGTCTTACACCTCTCTGCAATTGGATAGGTTTCGTACTCTGATTCTGTACTCGGATAGCCATCGTAGCTCTATTGTACAAACACTTCAGCACTTCGATATACCGACAGTCAACTTGGCACCGCTGAAGGGACTGCAGCACCGCCCAAATTTCGACGGAATCAAAGGCTTTCTCATAGTCCACATACGCTAGACATAGTGGCAAATTGTACTCTTCGGACTTCTGTACAATTTGCCGAAGGGTATGTATGTGGTCTATGGTGCTAAAGCCCTTTCGGAAACCGGCTTGTTCGGGAGGCTGGAAGTCGTCAAATCTGCGCGCGAGACGATTCGTAATGACTCTCGAAAACAACACGTAGACGCGGCTCAGAAGGGAAATCGGTCTGTAGTTCTTCAAGAGAGCGTTGTCACCTTTCTTGAAGAACAAGACCACCGCACTTCTGCTCCACACCTCCGGTGTAATGCCACCATGGAGGACGGAATTAAAGAGCTTCTGAAGGACTTCAAGTACCGGTCTTCCAACCGCTTTCAGAAGTTACGCTGTAATTCCATCCTCGCCTGGGGCCTTGCCGTTTTTAAGGTGCTGGAGAGCCATTTTAATCTCGCTCAGACTGACGTCCAGAATATCTTCGGAATAGTGTCGGATGAGACTCGCTCTTGGATCGTTACTCACATTTGCGTGTGGCTCCAAAGATGACGTGTACAGCTGCCCATAGAACCTCTCAATCTCACTCAAAATCTCAGGTATCCCGGAAATGATGCTGCCACATTCGGTCTTCAGCTTTGACAGTTGGCTCTTTCTGGCACACAGATCTCTGGCAAAGACTTTGGAGCCTTGGTTCCGCTCGATCGCTTCTTCAATATAAGCTGTATTGAAGTTGCGTAAGTCCCGCCGCATGCATTTGGAGATCTGTCTGTTCAGTTGCCTGTATGCTGTCAAATCTGTTGAAGAATGTAGCTTCATCTCCCGTCTAACAGCCATGAGATTAAGAGTGTGATCGGAGAGTTTTTGTGTTCTTCTGCGGCGGGTCTTGCAGAACTTAGCTCCGACCGCATGGACAGTTTCCACGAGCTTGTCATTCATATCGTCCACTTCATTCCAGTCTTCTAGGCACTGAAAACGGTTTTGTAACTCGAGCTGAAAGGTTTCGGGACTTTGGAACAGAGCACGAGGGGGACGGAGCGTTGATTTCATTAGACGCGACCTCTCCAACTTAACGTTTAGGTTCAGTGTGCCTCTAAACATTCGGTGATCACTACCAGTTTTCACCCTCGCGATCACGGAGACATCACTGAACAGTTGTCGTCTGGTCGTCATAATGAAGTCAATCTCATTTTTTGTGGAACTGTCAGGGCTCGACCAGGTCCACTTCCTGTCTGGCCGCTTCTGGAAGAAAGAGTTCATCATAAAGAGTCCCTCTTTCTCAATGAAGTCAGCCAGCTGCTGGCCCCTTGGGTTCCGTTGCCCTATTCCAAATTTCCCTACTTTCAGCTCACCGTTCTCTCTTGTGCCTAGTTTTGCATTGAAGTCTCCCATTAACACCGTATATTGGGTTTTGGAGGAATGCATGGCTCTAGAGATATCCTTATACATTTCCTCCACCTCCTCATCGGGGTGTGCCGAGGTTGGTGCGTAAACCTGTATGACCTTCAGCGAATACCGTTTGGTGATTCTGAGTATAAGGTACGCAACCCTCGTCGACACACTCCCGATCTTTACAACGTTGTTAACGAGAGACTTGTGGACGATAAATCCGACACCTCCTTGGGACTCGCCCTCCCGGTGATAGAGCAAGTTGCCGGATTCGAGGATTACCGTATCCTCCCCCTCTTTTCGGACTTCGGATAATCCTATAATATGCCAGCGCAACTTGTCTATCTCTTCTTCCAACTCCACGATCTTCTCGTCAGTCCTCAGGGTGCGTGCGTTGTACGTTGCCAGGTCGAGTCGTCTAAGGTGGCAACCGAACCTCCACCGGAAATTCTTAGCACCCCCCCTGCCCCGCCGTTACCATGGTCGCCACCGTAGCCAGGAATAGCGGGGCCGCCGGGGACTTGGGGCCGTCTGTTTGTTACTTTGATCATTGGGGGATATTTGCCATAGTTGCCACGCTTGGCGAGCGGGTTGGCAACCGAGTTTTTTTTATTGTAATTTTAGCTATT